GCTTCTGTGTGTAAAAGCGTCTGTGTGTAAAAGCGTCTGTGTGAAAAAGCGTCTGTGTGTAAAAGCTTCTGTGTGTAAAAGTCTCTGTATGTGAAAGTGTTTGTGTGTAAAAGCGTCTGTGTGCAAACGTGTGTGTAAAAAAGCCTCTGTGTGTAAAAGTGTCTGTGTGTAAAAGTGTCTGTGTGTAAAAGCGTCTGTGTGTAAAAGTGTCTGTGTGTAAAAGTGTCGTGTGTAAAAGCGGTTGTGTGTAAAAGCGTCTGTGTGTAAAAGGGTCTGTGTGTAAAAGCGTCTGTGTGTAAAAGCGTCTGTGTGTAAAAGCGTCTGTGTGTAAAAGCGTCTGTGTGTAAAAGTCGTTGGTTGTGGTGTGTAAAAGCGTCTGTGTGTAAAAGCGTCTGTGTGTAAAAGCGTCTGTGTGTAAAAGCGTCTGTGTGTAAAAAGCGTCTGTGTGTAAAAAGCGTCTGTGTGTAAAAAGCGTCTGTGTGTAAAAAGCGTCTGTGTGTTAAAAGCGTCTGTGTGTTAACAAAGAGGATGCTGTTAAAAAGCTTCTGTGTGCAAAAGCTTCTGTGTGTAAACGCTTCTGTGTGCAAAAATTAAAGGCGTCTGTGTGTAAACGCGTCTGTGTGTAAAAGCGTCTGTGTGTAAAAGCGTCTTTGTGTAAAAGCTTCTGTGTGTAAAAACTTCTGTGTGTAAAAGTATCTGTGTGTGGAAGTGTTTGTGTGTAAAAGTGTCTGTGTGTAAAAGTGTCTGTGTGAAAGCGTCTGTGTGTAAAAGTGTCTGTGTGTAAAAGTCTCTGTGTGTAAACGTGTCTGTGTGTAAAAGTGTCTGTGTGAAAGAGCGTCTGTGTGTAAAAACGTATGTGTGTAAAAGCTTCTGTGTGTAAAAGCTTCTGTGTGTAAAAGCGTCTGTGTGTAAAAGCTTCTGTGTAAACGCGTCTGTGTGCAAAAGCGTTTGTGTGTAAAAAGCTTCTGTGTGTAAAAGGCTCTGTGTGTAAAAAGCGTCTGTGTGTAAAGCGTCTGTGTGAAAAAGCTTCTGTGTGTAAAAGCGCTTTTGCGTAAAAGTGTCTGCGTGTAAAAGCGTCTGTGTGTAAAAGGGTTTGTGTGTGAAAGGGTCTGTGTGTAAAAGCGTTGTTGTGTAGAAGCGTCTTTGCATCAAAGCGTCTGTGTGTAATAAAAGGGTCGGTGTGTAAAAGGGTCTGAGCTAACCGAAATGTGGAGCACTCAGAATTCGCATCGTGAAACGTCACGTTGCAAGTTGCAAATGTGTATGTGTGTGTATGTGCGTGTGTCCTGGTGCTGTCTGCGTGTCTGTTTGTGCGTCCCGTGTCTGTCTCTTTGTGTGTGCGTGTGTCTGTGCCTGTGCGTGTGTGCGTGTATGTGTCTTCCTCTTTGTGTGCGTGTGTGTCTGTGCCTGTGTGTGTGTGCGTGTATGTGTCTTCCTCTTTGTGTTCTGTTTGTGTGTGTGTGTGCGTGTGGTGTCTGTCTGTGTACTGTGTGTGTGCGGGTCTGTGTCTGTATCTTTGTTTGTGTGTCTGTGTGTGTATGTGTTTCTTTGCTGTCTGTCTCTGTTGGTATCTCAAATTTTGTGTCTATCTTTGTCTGCTTTTGCTTAGAATCTGACATAGCATTTCGATCTCCTTTGTGCTGATCATCTGCATCATCTTCAATGAAGCTTTCACCTACAATGTCTTTGATACTACTTACAAGAGAGTAACATGCTCATCATGCTCTTCTACGCTCTCGTGCCATCCGTCGTCTGGTTGAACTTGATAACGTCAAAAACGAAGCAATTCTGCGAGACTTCCTCATTTTCGAAGTTGACGACATCAAAAACGAAACAATTCCGCGAGACGTCAAAAATCGTCAAAAATGGAAAGTTGAGTGCAGAGCTGACGGCCTTGTACCAATGCGTTTTCCGATTTTTCCAGTCCACCTGTCTGAAGTACTGCGCCTGCCACGAAAAAGTGATGCCAGGTCATACGAAGTGCTACACCTGTCACGCAAAATCATCTTCCCAAAACTGAAGATCTGATGCTCCAAAATGCAACCCCTCTAAGGAAATCAGCGCCCAGACCTCCTAACATCTCTGATGAACATGTCTCTTGTATTGCGCCTGCCACGGAAAATGCATCTTTGCAGATCCTCTTCAAGTGTCCCACGCCTGCCATCGTTTTTGGAAATGCTACAAAACATTACAAAACCCTCACGTTTTGCACGTTTTTGTTCACTTTTGACAAGGTGCACAATCCCTTGCGCCTGCCACGCGAAACGACATCTGAACGTCCAATAGTGGTCCGAACCCCTGGTGTTTTTCACATTTTGCCTTCGAAATGTGCTTCGCGCCGCAACGGCGTGCACTTTTTCGACATCTCAACTTCCAAAAATTGTCCGAACCCCTGGTGTTTAACATGTTGACTTCGAAATGTGCTTCGCGCCACAACGGCGTGCACTTTTTCGACATCTCAATTTCCAAAAGTGGTCCGAGAATGGGGTGTTTTGTACATTGGACTTAATGTTGAGTCCTGATTAGTACCTAGGGTCGCTATTGTGGCAAATTTTTTCCAAATTATTCTGAAACTCATGTATTGTTTGGAGGGTTCGCTTTTGTGGCAAAACAAAATTGGGAGAGCCCTTTTTTTTGCAAAAAAAACTGTAATTGCTGCGAGGCATTTTTTCTCAAAAACGCTGTAGCTCAGTCAATTTTTTGCTCATCTCCCTATCTGAGCCTGTAAATGCATCTCTATCTGGGTAGGTTTGTTTGCTGGGTTCACTATTGCAGCAAGCTGTGCCAGAGCAGCCCCTGAAGAAGGGAAGCAAGCCATTTCCAAAATTGCCAAATTCAAACTGCAAGCCTTTCCCAAAAGCACCAATCCCTTATTCAACCCTTATTAAAGAACAGCTTTCCCACAATTTTCCAAGGCCCTGGACCAGTAGAGGCACCATTTCACTTTAGTAGGTTTGTTTGCTGGGTTCACTATTGCAGCAAGCTGTGCCAGAGCAGCCCCTGAAGAAGGGAAGCAAGCCATTTCCAAAATTGCCAAATTCAAACTGCAAGCCTTTCCCAAAAGAACCAATCCCTTATTAAACCCATATTAAAGAACAGCTTTCCCACAATTTTCCAAGGCCCTGGACCAGTAGAGGCCCCATTTCACTTTAGTAGGTTTGTTTGCTGGGTTCACTATTGCAGCAAGCTGTGCCACAGCAGCCCCTGAAGAAGGGAAGCAAGCCATTTCCAAAATTGCCAAATTCAAACTGCAAGCCTTTCCCAAAAGAACCAATCCCTTATTAAACCCTTATTAAAGAACAGCTTTCCCACAATTTTCCAAGGCCCTGGGCCAGTAGAGGCCCCATTTCACTTTAGTAGGTTTGTTTGCTGGGTTCACTATTGCAGCAAGCTGTGCCAGAGCAGCCCCTGAAGAAGGGAAGCAAGCCATTTCCAAAATTGCCAAATTCAAACTGCAAGCCTTTCCCAAAAGAACCAATCCCTTATTAAACCCTTATTAAAGAACCAATCCCTTATTAAACCTACAAGTACTACACGTAATTACTACAAGTACTACAAGTACTACAAGTACTATAAGTACTACAAGTACTACAAGTACTACAAGTACTATAAGTACTACAAGTACTACAAGTACTACAAGTACTACAAGTACTACAAGTACTACAAGTACTACAAGTACTACAAGTACTACAAGTATTACAAGTACTACAAGTACTACAAGTACTACAAGTACTACAAGTACTACATGTACTACAAGTACTACAAGTACTACAAGTACTACAAGTACTACGACACAGTACTACAAGTACTACATGTACTACAAGTACTACAAGTACTACATGTACTACAAGTACTACATGTACTACAAGTACTACAAGCACTACATTACTACAAGTACTACAAGTACTACAAGTACTACAAGTACTACAAGTACTACAAGTACTACAAGTACTACAAGTACTACAAGTACTACAAGTACTACAAGTACTACAAGTACTACAAGTACTACAAGTACTACAAGTACTACAAGTACTACAAGCACTACAAGTACTACAAGTACTACAAGTACTACAAGTACTACAAGTACTACAAGTACTACAAGTACTACAAGTACTACATGTACTACAAGTACTACAAGTACTACAAATACCACAACTTCATCGGCAAAAAAAAAACAATAGTAATTAGATTTCAATTGTAGCCAATTGAAATCCTTACTTAATTGAGGATATGTTTTTCTTTTGGGAAGAAAATTTTTGACTTTCTACTTTAGAGTCCAGAAATAGTTTGGGGGGGGGGGGCCACACACTAATCAGGACGCAACATTAGAAATGTGCTTCGCGCCATAACGGCGTGCGCTTTTCGACGTCTCAACTTCCAAAAGTGGTCCGAACCTGGTGTGTTTTGTACATTTTGACTTCGAAATGTGCTTCGCGCCACAACCGCGTGCAATTTTTCTCATCTGGCCAGCTGGCTCCGCACCTGCCGCTTTAGCGAGCCTATTTTCGACCCCCTGGAGACACAAATCGGACTTTCCTACCTTTTCGCGCGCCTGCATCTTCTTTCTTCTGATTCTTTCTCTTCTCTGATCTTCTCTCTTCTGCTCTTCTCTTCTCTATTCTTCTGCTCCACCTCTGCTTTTCATATGTCCATATTGTCGGAAGTTTGACTTCTAAACTTCCTTCGATGATGCACGGCACCAAATCGAACGCGCACACCAAAGCATCGAGGCCAAGCCTGTTGACGACCAGGATTCATGGAAAACCAGCTGCAACCAGCCTTAGTTCGGAGTTGGAACAAATTGGGACCGGGTTTCGCTGGGACACGTCTTGGGACACATCCATCGGATTGTAAAGGCTTGAGACGGCTTGAGCTTGGCAGTTTTATGCAGTTTTAAGATGTTTTAAGATATTCTAAATTTCTACGTGGATTTGAGATGATTTGAGGATATTTGAGGCCAGTTTGAAGCCGTCACTGAAGCCTTCTTTGCTTCAGGCCACGGGCTTGTGCACCATGCACTCGTAACGTGTGCGCATGCTTGTCACGGCCATCTGGACCGGACTTCAAACTCGCCTTGGCGCAGCATGGTGAATTCGGGATTTCTTTCGGTGGCTTTTTGAAAAAGCTTCATGCCCATCCAAGCCATGGAAGTCTGCATGAACAATGTCAGTTCATCATTGAAGCTTGGGTGAGCGCCTTAGTTCTTTGAATATAGGGGCTGCCACTGCCAATCATGTACTTGCAACATCTTGCAACAGGAGCTTATCATTGAGCATTGCCACAATCTACCATACTGCTATACTCAAGGATTCCAGCAACCTCTTCATAGGCGCAGGCATGTCCAGGATTTCATCAGGGACAACTCGAGCTCTTGAAGAACAGGAAGCGATACGGAAACTTTTTTTTTCAGACAATACATTCAGTATGAACTGTCTGCAGCAACAGTCCAAACATGTCAAGACTTATGTTGTTACACCCAACGAGGTGAAAGGGTGCATCTGGACGCAAAGGAGTTAGTCCTCTAGTGGTGAACCCGACATTGTGGATGCAAGCGGGCCGTTCGAATCCAGCTTGTCCCAGCTGCTCTTTTCACGACCGCCCACGTGCCCTTGGTCAAGAGGGAACTTGCTTTGACTGCGACTGCATCAGGAGCCCGCTGTGCCTGCAAGGGTTGCATGATGATCCCCTCTGGTGCCGCCAGGGGGGTATCTCAAAAGTGAATGATGTGAAACGTGAATAGAAAATAACAGAAATAGCTGAAGCTGAAGAAGCACCTAAAATCAAAGTCACTGGATCTTACTTAAGAGCACCCGAGCGGGATCACTGATCACAATGGTTAGGTTGCATATGGTTGCATGCGACCTTCAATGCCTCCCAAAAGCCACGGGATGCGGGGAAATTCGGAACCCGAAGCAGTGAGGAAATCATTAATTGTTTGCAAATTTGACTTGTTTGCAAAAATCGTGAAACCATGTTTGAGCCGCCTCACGCGACAGGTTCAGATGCTCGGTGATGACGTCTGTAATCCCAGCAACGCCCCGTAAAATTGTGACGTTCTTTGGGTCGTAGCGCGTACCAGTGCAGCGGAGCTGCACGTGGGACAGGTCCTTAGCTAATTGCAACCAGAACATCGGAGAGAAAGCTAAGCATGATGCATGCTACACCCGGACATGAAAGTCAGTGCAATCTCTAAAACAACGCGTTAACTGAATGGGACGCCGCGCGTTCGGGAAGTCAGTGCAAAATGAGGCAAGGCATCATGTGTTGACGCTACATTTAGAGTGCTATATATATATATATATTGAACGCCTTCAATTTTCAACGTATGTCTTCGGCTCCTGAAAATGTGCCAAGCGCCTCAATGGGACAAGTGTTTTGAAGGATTTCATGCACAAACACAATGGGACACACACACACACACGCAAGCAAAGTGCAAAGGCAAAACTTACATGATCAGGTCAATTTCATCATAATTCTAATTCTAAGAAAGTGATATTGCTTCTTGATGACAATCTTGCATTGTCTATAACCCAATCTAAACCCTCGCAATTGCCAAACCTTGATGTGCCCTGGCCATTCTTTGTCATGGAGTCATGTATGAATTATATATGTGTGCCTGGTGTACCTCAGCCACACTATTCCACGTTTGCAGCTTCTCTGTCCGAATGCGGCTGGCTGCCTGATACCAATGTCCGACCAGTTCTTTGAGCCAGCCAAACCTTCCTGAACTATTGATTGTCTAAACTGCTTCTTCTCGACTTTAACAATTTCATCTTTGAGCTTTCCCGCTGATGAGCCACCTCTTCTTTGCGCTGCCTTTTGTATGGGCTACTTCTTCTTTGTGCCTTCTCTTCCCTGAGCTACCTCTTCTGTGAAGCACCTTGTCCCTGATCTGCTCCTGCAGTCGTGTGAGCTTTTCCTAGCCTCATGACTGTCGTGTTTAGTGTTTTTGTGCATTTCTTTTTGGCAAAAACCCGAGCTCTTGCCATAGTCTCAAGCGCCTTTTTTTGACAAATTTATGAACCCAGGCTCGTACCAACAAAAACTCAGCTATGTTTGGCTTCCTTCCTTTCTTTCACCCGGCCACACTACTCCACACAAACAATGCTCTGCACACTCGCTGATTCTTGCCATGATTTAGTTTGTGCACTACATCCTCCGTGAACTTCCCAACTAGATGCTTCCTGGGTGGTTGAATTTATAAGACATTTCTCCATTGACAATTATCCGTAAGAAACTCGGAAGTTTCTCATAAGTGTAATTCCGTTGACTCTTTCAGGAAGGACCCTGTGAGAGATTGCTTGGGGGTGGTAGCGCTTCCGGGCCCTCTCCCCACGAAACGATGCATCTGCATGCCCAAATCAAAGAAGATCAATGTGTGAACACAGCAGGGACAGCAAGAGATGCCAAAGCACAGTCTCATATTTCTAGAAAACATAAACGTCCCTGATGACTTGAACGTTGATGACATGCCAATGTTTCGCATTGAATCTATAGGAATACTGAAATACTGAAACAAGTGCTGAGCTGCAACTTCAACGCCAAAATCCAAAAAGAGAAAGTGATCTGGCCGCCCATCCGTTTCCCACTGGTTCGTGCCGTTCAGCAACGCATCGATACCTCTGTCCTGCAACCAGCTGCATTTCTGCGAACGGCCATGGGGTAGTGATGTAAAACGATCGTCAACATGTCCAGAAAACTTTGGCAAGAAAAACTCTTGGCTTTCTACCAACTACGAGAAGACTCACAAAAAGAAAGTACAGCCCCTCTCAACTACCAAGCTTTGGGCTCAACAAGGGCGCACTCCCTGGTTGGAAGGTTCAGGGCATGTCCTTTCCGGCCACTGAGAAAGGATGTCAGCTTGGGGTGCAGGGTTACAAGAGAGCACGTGTTGAAGCGCAGCAGGGCTTGATGGTCTGCATCTGGTTGCGGAAGCAGCCATTTTTGGGAAGCAAATGTATACGCATACCTGAATCACACAATTTTTGTTTGCTAAGTAAATTCAAGCTGGCCTGTTATTGGCACAGTGATGTGTGGGCACATTAAGTATGTTTCACTGGAATAGCATCCGTATCTCTGCGGGTTGTTGCCATTGGTTTCTGCGTGCCCTGTGCCGTGTTGCGTGATAGCGAGGAAGGCCAACAAAACATAACAAACGAAGGTGAAGGTGACCCAAAGAGAGGCTTGGACTGACTCCTTGCAATCTTGAGTCACTTGAGATATCTTATGCACATTTCTGATATTTCTCTGGAAGTGCGGCAGTGCTGTGGAGTTGCAAGGTTTGTCGCTTCGGTCCTGATTGGACGAATGTTGCAGAGTCATTGCAGAGTTCTAATCGGCGGCTTTTAGAGGCTCTGACCCCAATAAAGACATTGACTCTACGATCTCTACAATACATTCAATCTTACATCCACCGAATGGTTTGCGTAGACTCAAGACCCCGTTTGAACTGAAGGTTTGCTCGAAGTTGCGACCTTAGATGCACGACTCCAGATTCAAGATTGCCACATTGTTGAACAGTTTAATATCTTCAGTGGCAATCTTGCATCCAGTGGAACTTCAGAATAGTTCTTATATAAATGTGCACTGATATGGTTCAAACCACACCACGGAATGTACATGATTCAGGTCGTCATAGGTCGTCCGAAAATTATATTGCAAATGAGCACATTCAATTTCACTAGAATTTGTTTAAACTATGATAAATTTCGTTCATATTCACGAAGAAATAATCGCTATTTCATAAATGCCAAGAATGGGTATAATTATACTGTTTTTGCAATGGAAAAAATCTGAATCTTTCACATTGGGCAGCCTATCCTTAAACAATTTTTGCAACGGCATAAAAAAGCGAACTTTGCCGGCGAAAAGGCGCAATTTGCCGGCGAAAAGGCGTATTTTTTTTGAGAAGATTGGTGTGTGTTTTGCTGTTGTTCAAAAGTGTTTCTCCTGAAACTTAAATGCCTGACAGATCAAATGGACACGGCAAATGCCAATGAAGCGACACAAGAACCTGCCAGAATCTAAGCGATGGAAAGGCCAAGTCTCTACAACGTTCTGGGGATGCATGATTTTTCTTTCAGTTAGTAGTGTGTTTTGACTAGTGGCTAGTGAGGCTCCTTTGGGTTCAAGAGGCTTCTTCCAAAGTGTCCAAGGTAATCAGTCATGGGTTCCCTTCTGTTGTGGTATTACACTTGGTCTCCCTAGGTTTTGTGAAGGCTACGTGGTAACCAACGGAAACTTCATGACAGAATAGGGAAGAATATGAAAGAGCAAAAATTACTTTACTTCGTGTGATCCCCACCATGACATTTATACATGTTCTTACTGGCACATCTTCTGGCATTCTATCTGACATATCTTCTGA